ACATTCACAGAGATGTACAGGTCTGCATAATGATGCACCCCTGACAGCACGCTGGAGCTGGGTTCATGCTGTATTTTTTTAAAAGGAAAAACTTAATTCAGTTTTGACTCGTCTCCCCCTTTAGTGTATTTTTACTGTGACAGAGAAGATTGGATGTACAAGACAGCTGATGTATCTCTCTGCACGCAACCCACCAGCCACCATCGCAGGTGTTGCCTCGGCGGGGGATTTGCTCTCTTTTTGAATATTTTACCATGCTCTGTGGTTCCCACAGAATGATTGATTGGTTCTTCTTGGCCCACATTAGGGTTCTGCACACAGGCCTTCAGGTGTTCACTCTGACTAAAGAAAAGACTTCTGAGTAGGATGTTTCTTAAGATAGTTGCTTCTAATGCAGAAGTACATCCTGTTTTTTTCTTAGATCTTTTGCATTACCTTTAGAGGCTTAGGATAAGGGTCTCACTTAGGCCTTTAGTCCACATCATTCCTACCAGTTGAAAGAAATAACTGTGATTGTGTACCATGCTAGCTGTGATCTTATAAATAACAAATGCACATATCTCCCATATCTGTATGTTTTCTTTCTTTCCTTTTCTGACTGGGAAATACTGAGCTGTACACACCTTTGTTTATTATTAGTATTACACAATATGACTAACATGATGCTCCCTTGACTGTATGCCAGAGGACAGGTGCGTCTGCCAAGCTCTCTCCTCACTTAGCTAACATCAGGTGATGTGCACTGTGTCTCGCTCATCTCTTCAACCTTTCACACAGATGGATAGCTTGCAATTTTGCTGTGAAGGTCACTGGTTTTTTAAATCCATCTCTGCTACCACTACGCAGTTGATCAGCATAACAGTTTTGTCTGCATACTGCAAAGCTGTGCTCGAGTTTGTGATCCCTGCCAATAGGTTAGGCCACATAATTAAACTGAGAATCTGAAGGAAATTCAATACAATCTATTAGAAGTGAGTGACCCAAGTGAGACTTTGGTATTCGCGGGCTGCATGTAAAGCTTTTCTATAGCATCACGTTCCAGAAGTCATTCACTGCTTATGTTGGCTTCTGTGTAGTAGGGTCCAAGTACTGTGCATGCTGGATTTACTAAGAAACCTGATGGATTCGTGTCACCCTCAACAAAATACAACATTCATCTCATTATCTAAGCACTCAGTGATATGGATGGGTTGAGCCGAATTAAAGAGCTGACATGTCATGAGCGTCACCAGTGACACAATATTAAATCCATCTAAAAACACAGCATCATTCATTTTGTGCCATGTGATCAGCTCTGGCAGTTCACAGTGTGCCCAGTACAAAAATGGCCAACTAACCGACTGCAGTGATTATATGAAACAATGTTTTCACAGGATCCTCTGCAGTACTGGGAAAAACGAAGTACAATCCATGATTCAGTAGTTTGTAGTTTGTTTGCTGTACAACTTTATTATTGTGGAAGAATTCTGACCCACTCTTCTTTGTAGCTTTGGTTCATTGAGATTTGTGGGCTTTGTTTATACACAGCTCTCTTACGACAGCATTGTAATCAGGTTAAGGTTGGGACTTTGCAACACTTTGATTCTTTTCCTTTTTCCGCCATTCTGTTGTAGATTTTTCTGCTGTGGTCAGGATCATTGTCCTGCCCCGTGACCCGGTTTCAGCCAAGGTTTAGCTTCCAGACAGATGGCCTCAGTTTTGACTCTAGAACACTTTGGTATAAGAGGAGTTCACGGTCGACTCAATGACTGCAAGGTGTCCACCACCACGCATGGCAGTTGTTATGAGGTGGTCTCTTCTCCCTTTCACTGCTTTTGTATCTTCTTCTTCTTCTTATTATTATTATTTTGTGCTCAGACCTTAATATATGCTCTGCTTTTCTCTTAAAAGTAACTGTGGCAGAATAAACATAAAAATACTGTCATTAGTTTTATCCAAAGGCAAAAATGAACAAAACACAAACTATTCTCGCTTTGTTACTCACCCATCTGAGACTTTTGTGCTCAGACTACTAATACGACAGTGTGTCTTCACGCATTGCTAATTTTCTCATCCACAAACACCAGCGAAGTTGAGGTGAAGTCTCCCAAGTGCCACTCTGTCATTCTGTCACACCACACATCAGCAGCGGTGACGGCGCTTCTTCTCAAACTTCGGACTTTGCAGAAATAAATGGCTGCATCCTTCCTTCCTGCCATTTCCCCCGGCTTGTGTGGGAGCTGAATTCAATATGACCTATAGTGGAATGTGACAGCAGAGGGCTGCCACAGCCCAGCCTGACAGGTCTGCCAAATGACTCCCTCTCTCTCTCCCTCACACCATGCAAGCTTGAGCCAGCTCCTTTTGAGGCTCTTTCTTTTTTTCTCCCCCTGAACTGCAATGCCATGCATCAGCTGAGAGCCAAGCCCGTTAACAGGATCACTTCTCCACAGTGCAGCAACTGCAGGAACAGTTTTACATGGCGGACACACTCAATTACATATATACACGCTGTTTAATTCCACAGATCAGTTCGTCCACACAGACCATTGTTATTGCATTCGAACTTAGCGTGGTGTCTCGAAATGTGTGAATTTAACAACTGTCTGGGTCGCGGGGCCACAGACATCAGACAGAGATGATGTAATGTATTCGTAGTTGTTTGGATTCTTAGCCGATTCATCTCACAGTTACAGTATACGCTTTTATCAAAATGATACTTGGACGGTGTTTCATCCCTCCATTGGTGTGCTGGTGTTTCTGTAATTTCTTTATTTTGCTCTTTTTCTTGTGGAAAAACATTCAGATAAAGTGAGACATATCCTGCCTGCTATATTTTATGTGTGATTGACATACAGTCAGTTAGGCGGTCACCTCAGGGGACAGGGAAAGCTTGAAGATGAAATATTTTAGTGTTTGGCCAATCGATACAAGCTGTGATGCAGTAAATGTAGAATTGCTGATAAAAATGTAAACGATTTTAGAAAAGCAATGACTTCATCATCACTTCATCATCCAGTTCCAGCTCAAACTGGATCAGCTGGGCCAGCTGTTAAAAAAATGACCCGTCTTGCTGCTCCTGCATTTGCCCCTGGGAGCAGGTGCTCTCCTGGTGGCTGATGAGCCACGCTAGTTAATTAACACCACTCAAGCGTGTACAGCAAAGCACAAAGGAAATTGTGTTTATGCTCGTAATCTCAGGACACAGCACAGAAAATTCACACAATAATCAAGCAGAAACATTTTTGCGGGGGAAATAATGGCTGCTACATTTACACAAAACAAGAAAACAAAACTTTTCTCAAGACAGAATGAAGGCTAGTGGAGGTCATCTGTACCCAGGAGGTTAAATTATTAGCTGTAATTTTGAGGGTGAAACTTGTCAGCATCATTGCTGGCCTCATTGCCAGTGGCAGAGCCAGACAATTCTTATATTGGTAGCCAGACCAAGACCATTACACTCACTGGGTCACCTCCGAAATGTAGTTATTTATTTTTCTGTGTGGCAAAGCCCTCCAGGCCAAAGTGTTCTGGTTAGTCGCTCTTAGTATTTGATTTGGCACTGTGAGGACACATATCTAATAAACTTTTAAAGAAAAATCTGGAACTGTTGTCGGAGCCCATCCATTTTCTTATTCACTTGTTTACGTCAGGGTCACTGTGAGTCCATCACAGGGCAATTTAGAATCACCAGTTTACCTAGCATGCATGTTTTTAGACAGTGTTTCATCTCTCCTGTGAAAGGAAGCCAAAGCACTTGGAGAAAACCCACACAGGTACAGAGAAAACAGAAAAGCTCCTACCTAGCCAGCAGATTCAAACCCAGCATCCAATCTTCCTGTGAGACCTCCTTCCAACCACTGCACCACTGAGCCACCCAGTTTCTGAAGTTATTTTTTATTTATTGATAAACCTCATAATATGTGTTGAATAGGCTAATGTATCCAAAGGCCTAGATTATATGTATGTAGTATGTAGCATGTATGTATGTATGTAGCCATTTGTTTTTGTTTTTTTGCAGTTACCTTCAGTGTCTATCTTAGCCACTCATGGGTAAAGCATAACAGGACCTAAACATGTTTGGATCAAGAGGGATTAAGTAGGTTACCCCTCCACCCTCTTCACATGAAAAAAAAATGTGTATACACTGTATAATCATCTGCCCAGGAGCAAAGCTAAAGGGTGGCAGATACCATCGATGACACTCTGGCAAACCCCTCTGGTCAGCTCAGAAAACAAGCAGTAAAATCCTTCAGGGCTACATGCATACTCCAGCAATACTCATATACCAGGACCATATTCCATCCATCCATCCATCCAATTCAGGGTAGCAGGTAGACAGGCAGACAATCACCCATACCCAAATTTACACCTATGGCCAACTAAGAAACAACCCAATGTGCACGTCTTTGGACTGTGGGAGGGAGATGGAGTACCCAGAGAGAACCCACACAGGTACAGGGAGAACATGCAAAACGTTCATGCTGTGAGGTGACAGTTCCAATCAGTGCACCACCCTGCCACCTCTAACAAAACATTTTATGCTATTTCTCTGTGATTACTGTTCCCACTTGGATCTATTCTAACAGCTTAAACCCCCCAGAATTACTCTTATGAGCTTTTAAAAAATAATAACCATAAAAATTTTTCTTAACCAGTTGTTCCAACGTATAGGTCCCTATAGAGTCATAGAATTGGAGGTTACATAAAAATGCTTATGACATGCTTATTACATGAGTGATTGAGTGAGTACAATGTGCCGTGCAGTTTCTGTGGTAGCTAAGTGAAAGTAACCATCACACCCCGATAAAGCTGCCTGTCTCTGCCAGCAGATCTATATTGAAATGTGCAGCAGAGACCATTACAACATGCTTAAGAACATTAGCGAGATGGAGAGCAGATATCAGTTAGTGCATAACCTCCAAGCCTGGGCGTCTTTTCAAGTGACACCCAATAATTGCACACTCCGCCCACATGATCGAGTAGCTGAAATAATTCAGTCATCCAATAAAGTCATTCGGATTCTTTAATGTTTTTTCTACAAAAATATTTTACATTAGAAAACACAGCTTGAAATATACACAGTCCACTTGGATTGAAGTACCCATGGAACATCTCCATTGAAATATATCTGTGTCTATATTTAAACTGTAGGTAAATATACCAGCAACAATAAACCTGGTTGCTGTTTTGTGAGGTTTTTCAATGACGTCACCAGGAGGAGCTTGAAGCCGTGAGCTGTAATCTGATCAAAGCAAATATGGACTCACAATCTATCCATATTAATTACAAAAAATACAACAAAGCAGAGGCAAATGCTGCCTCTGATAATGGCAGGGAATGCTTCTGGTGAAAATAACAACTTTGTGTAGATATATGAACATCATTTCCTCAAAGAGTGTGGGAGTATAGGTAAAGGATCAAAGCAAGGATAATGGCACTAAGCAACCGTGAGAGAGACTTTCTGCCATGAATAACATTCGTTTGTCTGTTTTCCAAATCCCAGAGTGCCCTTTCCTGCATGTAGCTGTAGCAGGTGGTATTCACCTACCTGCCTGTTTACAACCTCAAATGCCACTCATCTACCTGTTGCCATCCAGCGTGCCATTTATGCCTGGCTGTCAGGATCCCACAGGGGCCATTCATCTACAAACTATCTACACCACATCCACGGGGCACTTTTTTTTTTTTTTTGCCAGGCTGCCTCGATATGTGCCGGGGTGTCAGTCAACTGTCTACCTACAGTATTTATATCCCAGGATGTCATTCTTTACCCTGGCTTGAGCCGTTCTGTGGGGTTTTTATATCAGGTTGCGTAAAAATACTATTTTTCTCCGGGATAGGTGAATCAGAACCCTAAACTTCGCCATCATGTTAACTGCAGTCAGGCTAAAACGAAAGATAAAAAAATAGATTTGACGGACAGGGTTTTGAAAGGCATATAGCCTGGTAGGAAGTTTTACTTTCCAGGCACAATTTTTTTCTTTGGCAAATATGCTTCTTTACTCTCTTGCTGATAGTTAGATGAGAAGATAGGTGTTTAAATATTCATGGCTGTGCTGGAAGGTAAAAAAAAAAACATGTCTTGAAGCAAGTAAATGACTTGTAAATGACAAACAAAACACTGCTAGTTCAATGAGCTTGAGGTCAGCTAGCTATTCCCCTCTTTTCCTGGTCTTTCTAAAGCAAATGTTCTCATCAAACTCTCAGCAAGGAAGCATATTTCTCAAAAATGTCTGTCATTACCAGATTTCATGGTGTCACTTATCAAAATTTCTATTTCTATTTTTTTTACCACTTCACATCAAACAAATGCCATTCATTATTGCTGTAAACTTGGTGCACATGAAAAAAACCATCTCTACTCATTTAGTCTTCTCAGCGTTAAACCTTTTTAGCCATTCAAAAAAACAACAAAAACAAACCTAAAACAAAAAAGATATAACAATTTGTCAAGTACGGCACTAACGTTATCATTGTGGATGTATTGATACCTGTCAGGGGTACCTTAGTTTGATAGTATGATAATGGTATGTACATCCCAAACTGCAAGGCGCTTTAAAGGACCATCAAATGGCATGTGAAATAAATAACAACAAAATAATGGTAAAAACATACCAATCAATACTTATATGAGCAGAAATTTCCCGTTTGTACTTTAGTGTGTGTCCACTGGCCCTTCACTAATAATTAAACTCTTGCACCCAGCTTGAGAACTGTGTCCCATGCTTTAGCATCATAGCAGTTCGGAGCGGAGGGCCAGTGACAGCGTCCAGAGTGGCGGCAGCAGCCAGACGGGAGACGGGGATGGGCGGACGCCTAGAGGCGATGCGGTGTCCGAGGTGCAGGAGCACACCTCGTATCCGTTCTCCGCGTGATCTGGGTGATTTTGCACGTTGACTCTCGTCTCTGTGCTTTTGGGCTGTGTGTCCGGAGAGTCCGACTGCATCTCTGTGCACAGCAGCCAGTCCTTTGCGATGAGGCGGGGGTATCCTGCCTCCACCTCCATGTCACTGCCTGGCACTCGCCAGTACTCCTTCCCTTTGAAGAAATAGGACGAGCCTTAAGAGAGAGTGGGAGGGAGGGAGGGGGAGGACACAGGGTTGATACTGTTATATTTTTGGATGTGAATAAACAGAACAAAACCACATGGAGCAGAAAACAATATAATACAAAATTGCACGTAAGGTGGAAAGGTGTGTTAAACCCTGCACAAAAGTAATGACTGGAAAATGTTAATCATCCCAAGAAGGAAATGTGCCTGTTAGTTCATACATAATGGGCTATTAGTTCCAGTGATCTGGTCAGGGACG